TCTAAAGACCTTATTTAGTTGCATATTGTACTTGCTTACATTTAATAATAAAATTTCCTCATTGTTTTGTTTGTTTTGTCTCTGAATGTGTCTATGCATGCCTAAAGACATATAGACAACATTTATATACAAAATAATGTTATGGGCTTAATTGTCAATTTGATCCTTAGCTTATTTAAGTTTTAAATTTGGTATTGTAGTATGATTAATGGGGGTCTTGAATTGAGTTTCGATTCAATGACTGTATTTCTCTGCTACAGTTTCGGTTTAGAACTAAAATGAGTATTAAAATCTGATCAGACTTATCTAATACTCATAATAAATGATTACTCGGCCAAGTGGGAGAATGTTGGACACGATTTTATTATGTGGCATGAGTTATCATTTATCTAATTAATTGATAATTGACCTAATAAATACCCTACGTATTTATTTGGTAATTATTTGATGGACGTAATTACCCTTATGACCTAATTAGGGTTTCCCCTTGGGTGTATAAATAGAGGTCATTAGGCAGAGATCAACACACCAATCTTACGCCTCCTCTCTGCCTCTCTATTCTCGTGAGTCATCCTCACCTTAGCCATCATAACGATACACCCTAAACGGGAACTCAATCTGCGTGAGAATCATGGCCTCATCCCTAACTACGTTTACAGGATTATCAGGTACACATGATTAAATCCCTAATTTATATTTTATGTTTAAGAATTGATCAACACGGGGAAGAGGTACCGATGAAGAAAGTCGGAGACAAGTTGATCCCCAAGACCGAAGACGAGTTTGATGCCGAGGACATCAAAAAGGTCGAGAATTATGCAAAAGCAATAAACATGCTTTATTGTGCCGTAAATCCTGATGACTACCGCAAGATCTCCCGCTGCTCAACTGCCAAGGAGATGTGGGATAAACTTGAGGTGACGTACGAAGGAACGGACCAAGTTCGGGAAGCAAAAATTGACTTCCTAACGCAGGAGTACGAGATGTTCAGGATGAAACCAGGCGAGAAGATCGACGACATGTTCAATCGCTTCTCGAAGATCATCAATGATCTTCACGCCCTAAAGAAGACGTATGCCAACAAGGACCTCGTGAGGAAAATCCTGCGGAGCCTCACCCCCGAATGGAGATCAAAGGCCGACGCCATCTATGATACCATTGGAGTCTCCAACGTAACCATCGACGGATTAAGAGGTAACCTTAAAACTTATGAATCTACAATTCTAACCCCGTCTTTGGATGAACAAAAGAATAAAGGGATAGCGCTCAAAGCAACCAAGGAAATGGTTGAAGAGGAATCAAGTGATGAAGACAACGAGTTTGACCTCATCATCAAGAAATTCCACAAATTTAT